TTTGACAGTTTGATTTTGAATTACATTTTTTTCTGTGTTAGCATCAATGCACCTCGCTCGAATGCATCTGTGGTTTCCCTATACAGCTTTTGGAATTACTTTGAAATTGATATATTCATATGCTTTTTACTCGATTGATGGTATCACAAAGAACCTCTCCTGAATAAATCTTCTTTTTCTGTCTTACTAAATTTTAGGAGTATTTGACTAATCCGGTGCAAGTGAAGGTGGGAAAAGTGAGTAGCCCAGCAGCAAATGTATCCCAAATTTTGGAGAAGGTTTCTGAAAATGAGAAGGTATGCATGCCTTGGAATTTAGGCGTGGATTTTTATTTATATACGTGATGTCACAATCTTAGTTTTGACTTATCAGTAATTACTATTTTGTGTAAGGCATGTGATGTTAGTTTTGTCTTTTTTGAACTTTTTTCTTTTATTGGGAGAGGGGGGGTGACTTATTCTTGGACATGTTTTTCCGTTTTCTCATCATCTCTCTCAGTGATGTGTTTTTTTCTTGCATTCTATGTTGTCATTATTCATTGATCAAATTTAAGGTGATTTATTAATGAAACACTAATGAATTGAAGAGCTTTAGAACATTGATTTGTGGTACTTCACCTTACTTCTTGCTGCCTCCTGTAAATGGTTGCCTTTGTATTTTTGATCTATTATCCATTCTTTGGCTGTCTAGAGCAGCATCTATGTCATATGTGAATTGTCTCCCAAGTAGAGCCAACCCCGGCAATCAAGGAAATAATACCGTCTGGGTGTGTTTGGATGACTGGTTTGGACTGGAATGAAGATTCCTGGTGTTTGGGTAACACATATACACTTCTGTGGAGCCCATGGAGAAGGGTGATGTAATATGGTGTCTTTGACTGATATGCCCCTAACAATAAATAATATTTAAGAGCAAAACAATATGATTAAATTAAAGAGCAAAATAATAAATTAAATTAATTTTATTATGGTGGTGCATGGGGGACAACTGAATACAAAACAATAAATTAAATTAAAGAGCAATATGTGTGAATGGAGAATGAGACAAGGCAGGTTATGAATCAGCAACCACCTTTGGTGAATCCGTTTGTCATCGCAGCAGCTGATGAATGAGACAAGCCAATATTAGGTTTAATAAATGAAAACGAATAGAATAGTCATTATACTGAGATATCCTATTGATGGCAAAATTATCCCAGCCTCCTCATGTAACCCACATAGGCAAGTTAAAGTTAACTTTTCAAATCAGATCAGGATAAACCCGAGTGGTATTGCCAGTGCACTTTTTTACTTGACAAACACGGGATAAATGGGTCCCACATGTTTTTTTCTCCTATCCTACTAGTGTTATGCCACTTTAGCCCACTATCCAAACAATCACATGTGAATTTCTTCCAGTTAGAGTCAGCTGTGGCACCCAATTTCTGTGCATGTTATAAATGTATGTCCATTTGATTGTTAAAGTTCACGGTTTGATATTAATGTTGGAACTGTGTTTAATGTATCGCAGATTGATCGACTTCTAGCTTTGCTTGTTGAGGAGGATACTCAGGCTGAAAGATCTGCCCATCCATTTCCTTTGACCATTGTATTTGTTGAGCGGAAGGTATTGCTGATTTGAATATTCAATTGCTTTATTCTTTTTGCCCTTTCCCAACCAACCAACACTCTTGCCCCCACCCATTAAAAAAAAAAAAAGAAAAAGAAAATGGAGAGCTGAGTAGCAGACATGAACACAACATGTAGACATGGGAAAAACATATGAAATGGTCAGAATGAGCACAAGGCGGTTCTTGTATGGCAAAAATTATTCTGGTATTTACCAACATTGTGAGATTCTGATTAAGGCAAACACAGGATTAGAGGTGTTGATTTACTGAAATTGATTCAGTATGCACCTGTATTGAAATAGTTTTGCATTTTTAGATTGGAGTTGCTATCAAAATCAGTGGTTTGCTTGCTAGGAGCAGAAAGTGGTGCTAAATGTGGTGCAACCTCTATTCATTTATGGGTTTTTTTCCCTTTTGACGAGTTTTTGATATAAACTATAGCCGCTCAGCTTGTGGATCATGCTTTGCAAATGTGGCACTTGATCTTGATGCTGGACAATCAATCTCCTTTATCTTGTTTTCATCATTTGTGAAGACCATTTCTTTCCAACAGGATGCCTAGTAGCTGCTGCAGCTGTAGTGCTTTTTAGGTTTTTCTTTGCCTGAAGTTTTAGCACTTAAATCTGGTTCTGCATGCAGACTAGGTGTGATGAAGTTGCAGAAGCGCTGATAGCACAAGGTTTGCAAGCTGTTGCTCTTCATGGTGGCCGTAGTCAAAGCGAAAGAGAGGCTGCCCTTCATGATTTTAGGCGTGGTCATACTAATATCTTGGTATGTCAGAAAGTAATGATGCTTGTTCTATACTTATGAGCTTATACTTACCCTGTCTATGGCATTGAGTTGACTGGATGTCCCATATATTTTCTCTAATCTATACTGAGGCTGTTGACTACATTGGGATATATGGTGTAAAATAATTGTGAAACGTTAAAAGGCTTTCTTCTTAGCATTCTGCAATACAATGGATTCTTGAAGATTTCCATGCAACATCTTGACAATGCATTGGACCCTTAATGCTTAATAGGCTTGAATTTTTCTTTTGGAGTTATTAGTTTGGAGAACCTCTAACTTCTGTTTGGGATATATACACTTAGGGGGAGCCTTTCAAGAGGTGTAATTTGTAACTACATGTGAGTTTCCCAGTCAGTGTGACCATATGTATACAATCCGAGGCCATAAGTTGGGTGTCATCGCCATATCTGGATTCTTCATAGGCAACTTCTTATCTTTTTCCTGCACTTGTGCATTGTATGTTTATTCACATTTTTCTGAATTGCACTTAATTTAATTTAGGAGTTCTTAGACACCATTGATATGTAGTTTCTTATTTGGACATTGCTTTGCAGGTTGCCACTGATGTTGCATCTCGTGGTCTAGACGTTTCTGGGGTTGCTCATGTAGTTAATCTAGATCTTCCAAAGGTATATCTTGCTGCAAGTTACAGCTTCTTGGTCACTGAGTCTCATTTGAGACCTGACAACTATTTTTTGGAACTATACTTTGAATTTTATTTTTGGAGTTGTGGTTGGTTCCTGGATTGCCATTCTAGCAATTTTTTGATGTATCTTAGTTGGAGCGAGTGTCGTCTGTAAGAAATTTTTTAAATATGGTTTTTCGTGTGTTGTAAGTAATTGTAAGCCATTCATTATGAATTTCTATGACTAATCTGTCAGCTATTGTTAGATGAAATTTCAGTAACTGTTAGTATACTTCACGATGCTGAAACTTGAACTTCTGTTCTGGCTGCCTCAATTATAGACCATGGAAGATTATGTACACCGTATCGGTAGGACAGGCCGTGCTGGATCAACAGGCCGAGCTACTTCATTTTACACTGACCGTGATACGGTTTCTCCCTCCTCCTCTTTTACCTTTCTTACTCTTGTCCTCTGTTTGTTCATGTTCATTGATTTTTTTTCTCTATCCTTGCTCGGCGTAATGGCACATTGCAGTTCCTTGTCACCCAAATAAGGAAAGCAATAGCAGATGTGGAATCTGGCAACACTGTGGCTTTTGCCACTGGGAAGGTATGGTTCACTGTTATATGCATATTAGAAAATAGTGCTATATTCCGTTTCCGTTTTCACTATGCTCCAGAGGAATTGCTTTTAGGATATACTGGATTTTTCATTGTCAGAAAAGTTTTCACTTTTCTCTATCTCTCGTTCTTCATGGTTCCTACGTGCTGTTGCTACTATTGACTTTCAGGTTGCTAGACGGAAGGAGAGAGAAGCAGCAGCTGCCCAAAAAGACGCTCAGATTGCACTGTCCAAACTCGCACTGATGGGACCCACGTCAATAAGTGTGGAGGATAAGTACAAGTACATGATTGCCCCGTCTATGTTCAAGAAAGAGGGTGTAGCAGATGGTGCTTGGGATGATTGATATATATTTTTATTGCATGGAACTTTGGTGCACTTCACAGTGAAGTCCCCAAGAACTCAAGGTTGCCAAGGTATGGTAGCTTTTGCAACTTTTTTTTTATGTTCCGTAGGATGAAAAGTAGAAAAGATGGAAAGTAAGAGAGATACACTTTCTATCTTTTAAGGATGAAAAGTAAGAATGATACATTTTTTTTTTGTGTTTGGTTGGATGGATGGAAAATAAAAATGATTAATTTTAATTTTTTTTTTGTTTAATATTAAGGGTGACAATCGAGTTATGTTATGTCATATTCATGTTGAGTTATAAAATTATGAGCTTTTTATATTTATTATTCGCGTGTCAGGTAATTTTCAAGTTCGTGTCATAAAATTCGTGTTGTGTCATTGTGTTGATTTGAAAATTTTTACCACTAGTTAAGATAAAAAAAATTATATTTTTTTAATTTAAATTTTTTTTTTATTTTATTATTATTATTTTATTATATATATATATATATATATATGATGGATTGATTTTAGTGAATTGGAAGGAAAGTTAAATTATTCACTTTTACGTCTTTCCTATTTTCCTTCTTTACTAAACATGATGTTTTATTTATCTTTCAAATTTTTCATCCTTCAAATTTTTCATCATACCAAACGGAGCATTGGTGTAAGTGGGCTGTGTTTAACTAATTCATTCATAGTCTGGCAAAATGTGGGAAAGTTAGAAATGAAATGACAAACCTCATCCTCCCATTCGTTTGTTTTGCAGTCACTGACGAAGAAATCATGCATATAATACATGCTGCCCAAGACTTGGGGCACGAAGTGCAAAACATGTTGAAGCTGACTTTGTAAATACACATTCCACTTTCTATTGGTTCTTTATACCATCTGATGATGTTGGTGACAATTGTCGGTGTTTTCAGACTTTGTAAGGTTTGTTGATGCATATTTGTAACCGTCGGCTTAAAAACTTCGTTTTATTGGAAAGATGTAGTTTAGCTGGACTCTCTCTCACAAACTGGAAAATCTTTGGCTCTGTCGATCGATATTGGCTTTACATCCATGGAACACAAGTGTAATACAGGCACCATAATCCCCTGAAACTCCGTAGATGATCTCGACGCATCCCCACAAGCTGTGGGAATAAACTGAACACTTAGTAGTGTTGTTTGACAGCCAATTTCCCAAGCAGCCTACAGGTCTCATAACCCATGTGAACATACCAGGGGTCGGGTATCTGGTCAAACTGGATCCAATTTCTAATAGAAGCAAACATAACAGTCAGGACAGAAGGCAGATGGATGCTTACGGCACTTACAGAAACAGAACCACCAGAAGGCCAATACGGCCATAATTACGAAGAGGAAATCCCCAGAAACTCTCGAAGGAATTTTCAAAAAAAAAAAATTGAAAACAGAAAAGCAGTAAGAAAAGTAATGAAAAGCTCCAAGAAGAAGATTATCCAACAGCACATAATAACTTAGGATGCCATAACTGGAAGTCGCTTGTGCCCCAAAAATGCCCGTCGAAGCTGTTGATACCCATTCCTGTAATGCTCAAGCGAGAAACAAAGCTGCCTTATTGCCTCCCGTTTCTCCTCTGCTCCTTCCAAAATCACTTCTCTTTGCCTCTCATTCTCCTCCTCCAGTTCTCTACCTCTTGATCTCAGTTCCTCAACCTGTTTACGTGTCCTTTCAGCTGCTGCAGTCAGTTCAACATGTTCCATGTGTAACTGATGCAAATGCTTGCCCATTTGATCAATCCGATCGTCCTTAGAACTACTCTCTGCATTCAGATTATCTCTCTCTGCAATCAGCATGTCATATTTCAATTTTAACGCATCAAGGCTTTTGTTCAACTCTTCTATCCGACTACCTCTCTCAGCAATGCCTACCTCCAACTGCTCAATCTCAGCTCCAAGCAGAGCTTCCATCTCTGATTTTCCAGCCTTTACTCGTCTGACTTCCTCCTCCAAAGATTGGCAACGCAGATCCCATTCTTTAAGATTGTCCTCCAAATAGGCTCGTTCCTTCAACTGCCTAGTTACTTCAGCCTGAAGGTGCGAGTTTTCTTCAGATAAGCTCTGGTTGGCATTGGAAATCGTCTCTCTTAAGGCCCTGATCTCTTGATCACGACCCGACAAATTGGCTTTATACCTCTCAATTCTATCCTGCATCTTTGAAACCTCTTTTTCCTTCCTATCTACCTTGGTTTTCCATGTTGCAATATCTCTCTGAGCTGAACCAAGTTCATGTCTCAAACTTGCAACTTCTTTTTCTGTGCCGTTCAGTGCTGCTTTGGTTATTTTTAGCTCCTCCTCGAGTGTTTGAATATTGTGTTCTGAGTCTGAAACTTCTGCTTCCAGCCCACCAATTCTTCCTTGAAGCTGTGTAACCTGTTTTTTCTCCTCTTCCAAACCACCTCCCAAATTTTTGTCATCTTTATGCATTGATTCACGCTCAACCTGTACATTGTTGGTGGATTCCAAGGTTTCACACTTGTGGAGCTCAATCTTCAACCTAGCAATCTCTTCTTCTGAAAGGCGAATCTTTTCCTCTGCAACTCTCAGTTCTTCCTCGTATCCTGCAATTCTTAGTAGTAGAACTTCAGAATTCCCACTTTCTATTCCCCTCGAAACGCCATCTGAGTTATTTTTCTGTTGCATTCGTAGCTTTTCCTTCGCATCCTGAAGCTCAACTCCCATTTCAATAATCTTCTGCCGTATGCCTTGGTCATCACCATTCCCTGGCATGCCTGAGTAATTGTTGACAGAGGAGTCATCTGATTCTGATTCCGAGTCCAACGTAGACGATTCATCTTCTTTGGTGTTCAAATCTGAGCTACTTCCACCAGTTCCAAGGAAGAATTCAAAACCAGCAGGTCGAGGACCAGATCTACGACGACTCAATCCCTGATCAGGAGTGGTCCATGTGGAGGGAGGTTCAGAACCAGTATCAGATATGCCTGAGCCCTGGGATTGGAGATCAGAGGGAATGTTCTTCCGCAGTTCACCAGTCACATTATCATAACGCTCAGCTAGCGACCGGTACATTCGGTAGAATTCCTCAACGAGCTTAATCAATTCTGGCCTTTTCTGATAATACATCTCAGCCTTCTTAGAAAATGTATCCGCATCCTCTTCAACAAGTTTCAACATCTGTTTTACTCTCTGATCCATCTCTGAGATTAACAAACATTTTTGTCATTTTCTTAAAGACATTTTGGCAGTACAGATTAATGTAGTATGAAATGATTTTGTAATTCTCAACACACAATTTAGGTCTATATGCAGTCCAACCCTCCCAGCATCCCGTATTAGAGTGGACATATTTGCGCTAAGGTTGTCTAATCATAATTTAACTACTCAGACATCACTTGCCCCTTTCAGACAGTCTAATGCAGATCTTTAGGCTGACCAAATGAAAAAAATATTATAGCCTGAATCTCAGACACAGGTGATGGCCAGTTCAGGTAAAGAAACTTTTACATTACTCTATGACCGTAGAAGGTATAATGTTTCCTGACAAAAATAAGCCAGCTACCTTTATGCATGTGGGGAACGCAAAAATTATAATAGGACTACTACATACAAAAAGGGAAGAAGGGAGAAGAGGGGAGGGGTGGACACAACAAACATGATCATCCAGAATCGCTTAAAACGCAATATACATTGGTTGCCTATTGGCAATCCACTGGTCAATACAGAATTCATAATTAGTCCATTCGCAACTAAAAGGCCCAGTTTTGATCAATTTAGATATCAATCATATGATGGTCCAAACTCCAAGAACCATTATCTGAAGTTGTCTAGCTGAGTGAGTTGGTACAAAAGAATGTTCTCTCAAAATCTCCTAAACTTCACATGTCGTTTTTTTTAAAGACCTGGCACCTGGTACTACTTATATTGTGCAAAATTAAAGTGTGTAATGATTATCAACACCAAGATTCAACAGAAACAATTGCAATATTAGTTGCTTACCTTCTAGATTATCTTGAAGCCACTTCGAGTTTTTGGGTACTAATGTGGCTGTCCCACCACCATGAATGTGACTTTTTTGATTCTGTCCTCTTCATCCTATTTGGCTTACCCTGAATTCACAATAAAAAATGTAGCCAACTGACATAGAAGCTCAAAAGTGGCAGGGTTTTCAATAAAAGGAGCACAGTTGTAAAAACACAAAACTTAAAAGCTTAAAAGGCGTAGAAATATCTAAAAAAATTCTAGGAAGGGGTCATTTACTAGAAGCAGGGTAATTTAGAATCTCAAACTATTAGAATTTGACAGGATTGACATTTGAGGAAACCTTCAAGTGTAATAACAAATTCAAATCGAATATCCTTCACTCTATATCATAGTGACACTTGTCATGGTCTGATATTTGCTGTAGTTTACTTACTTACCAAAGATGCCATTTTGCTGGGTTGGTCAGATTTGCAAGTTGATAAAAAGATCTGGACTAAAAAAGAAAGATACATGTTAAACGATGAATTATCAGAAAACTATCATGTTGTAATTGTAGATTTCCAGACTTGATGTTGTGCAAATCAACTTCATTTATAGCGATATGTATATTCAGGGTTGCACAGCAACAACATCAATTACCAACAAGATAGCACATATTGAATAGGTTGGAAGATATCACTGAAACCTACATCAAATAATCTCTCAGCCCAAATTGCCACCAAACGTATACTGCCATACTCACCTAATTACAGGTAATGGCATCATCTATGTGTGGGGGGTAAAGGGCTTACTTTTAATGCTTTATATACAGTAGAGGAGTTTAGCATTCCCTCACTCCTCTGATATGGTATGCATGTCAGATTACTGTAAGGAGGAACAGTACCGTACCAAAAGTTACAATGTTTTAAGGTCAAATTACAACTTTTGGAAGGTACAAATTACAAGCCATTGCGATCGATCAAAAAATTATAAATTTTAAAGGTCAAGTTACAATTCGTAAATAAAAAATTACAATTCATGATTGATTACAAAATGTTATGATCAACCATAAATTACCTCAAACATTTATAAATTTGCTTTTAAAAAAAGTAAAACTTGACATTTAAAAATAATAACTTTCATTATGATACCAAAATTTTTTGAGTACCGTAGTTGTACCCCACTGTAAAACACGAGGGATAAAAAGTTGATGCATCAAATGCAAATTACTCTGATTCTTTTGTTTCTAAGTATCAGAATTTAAATAAAAAAATTAGCTGAAATAATAACCTTGAAAAAAAATAAGAGCCCGTGTTAGACGTTTTTCTTAGCTATATTCCAGCCTGCCGCCCAAAGCCAGCAAGAAAATGACAAATTGCAGGCTTCTGTTTTTTTTTTTTTTTTTAATACATAAATATGCAGGCCATTTTTATATCAATCAAATTAAACGCCGGCCCAAGCCCAAACAAATAGAGGAACTGGGCTTGCTCGTTATGGTTGATGAATCAAACCCACAGGACACGTGTCGACAGCACAGGCAGATCGACCAACCTCTGTTTGAGGGGAGGGTAACTCCCACGCGCAGACAAAGCGCGCGAAAATTTCAACGCGGATAGATATAAATGTGCTCCAGATTAAAAATTAAATAAAAAAATATTTGCGAGGATTTGACGACAGCACGTGAACACCTGTACGAGCCAGCTATATCCACGCCGTTCGGCTGTTCAGTAATATCTGCCTCAACAACCATACACTTCCGATCAAAAAAAAAACAACCATACACTGAAATATAAATAGAATTTTGGGTAAATGATACTTTGCCCCCTAACAAATTCTTAATTTTTCAGTTTAACCTTATAAACTTGAGAGATTAAATATAGCGGTGACGGTGTAGTTCAAAAATAAATATTCATTATTTTTTGACTAATTTTGTTGTTGTACCCAATTTCTATACATAATTATTTACATAATACTCAATCACAAGTGTTTTCAACAATGTTTTGGCACTCAATATTCTTGAAATTGGAGTAATTTTATCTTTTTGTTTAATTGATGGTGCAAGTTTAGGGCATAAATTGAGAATGTAAAGATCTTTTGGGTGCAAAGTGCAATGTATCCTTGAATACTTATATAAATAAATTTTTTATTTTGGATTTTTTTTATCTCTAACAAATAGAAGAAAATACGGACAACAGCATAAAGCACCTTTTCCAAACAAACATTGTGACCGAAAAAGGGCAAAAAAAAATACAAGCACAGTATATATAGTAGGAGTATTGTATTTGTTCGCGATGAATTGAGAAATTTCTTTAATTACACCGTTTTTCTGTTGAATTAAAACCTATGTATGTTAGATTGATCATGGAGAGAGAGAGAGATCATTGTAGTAGTACTAACCTCAGATCAGGCGCGAGAGGGAAAGGATTAATTGATACCTCACTTCTGCAAGACCGTGAAAAGAGAAATGGTGAATTAATTGGTCATAGTAATTGGAACCAGAACAGAAACGAGATCGATTGCATAATCGCGTAAAAAAAGAAGTGGATTCTGTGTGAGAGAGAAGCAGATATTTGAAGGAAAAAGAAAAGAGAGATTGAATGAAGAGTTGAAAAGGTCGGAAAAGAGAGCGAACTTTGAACGAACACTGACCTTTTTCTTGAATGACTCTTCTAGGTTTATGTATCGTATATGAAGCCAAGAAAGTGGAGCGCACAAATCAGACAAGAAAATACTGATGATGTGAAAGAAAAGAAATTTATTCTAAATTTCCGGCGAGAGAGAGAGAGAGAAGAGGATTTGGAGCTATTCTTTTATCGACGGGGATGAGGGCTAGTGGGAAAATACGACCTTTTGTGCTGAATTTTTTACATACGATATTTCAAGTCAAACTTGTATGTTTAATAACTATTTTTCCAAAAATATATATAAATATATATAATAAAGTACACTCAAATTTCAAAAATAAATAAAATAATTTTTATTATTCACGATTAAGATTTTTTTTAATTTTATTTTAAAGTTAATTTGACGACTAATATTAACATTTCAAATTTAATGTGAAAAATAAAATCATAAGGGATGTGTTTGAGATGACTTTCTAAAAGTATTTTTAATATTTATAATTTCTTATAAGTACTTTAAAAAAAAATAGTGTTTGAAAACCGTTCTACCAATACCTTTACCACCATCAGTCCCACCGCCCCACCACTACTACCACCGCCACCCCACCACCACTACCACCATTATTGTCGCCACCCTACCACACCCATCGCCCCTCAGTACCACTGTCACTGTCACCCCACCATCTCCTCTTCCACAACAACCATCACCACCGCCCTACTACCTCAATTATCATAACTCCACAATCACCACCCCATTAGTGTCCCACCACCACCACTATTTCACCATCACCATCACCATTGTCACCGATAGCTGTCACCATTACAATCGATTGTCATCATCCATCACAACTATCACTGTCTCTCATCACCACCACCACTATCGCTCACCATCACTACCGTCGCTCGCCCCTATTATAACCAGTGTTTAAATTCTTTTATTTCTACTTTATCTTTGTAATTTGATTTTAGGTGTAATATAAATATATTTATTGTTGATCATTTTTTTTATTACTTTGTGCCTTCAAGTACGAGAATAACTAGTTTATATAATAAAATATAATACAATTCAAATTTCACAAAAAAACAAAATGATTTTTGTTTTTTGCAGTTGCGATCTCTTTAAATTTTACTTTAAAATTAATCCGACGGCTAATATTAACGACCCAATTTTAATAAGAAAATAAGTCCCTAAAGGCGTGTTTGTGTGACTTTTTGAAAGTGTTTTTGGAACTTATAATTTCTCATAAATACTTTAAAAAACAAAATAGTACTTGGAACCGTCCTACTATCATCACTACTACTACCACTATCGCCGTCACCCTACCCCCACCACTATCACAATTGTCACCGCCGTCTCCATCCCACCCTACCACCACCACCACAGTCGCCACCACCATCATCACTACCGCCACCGCCACCACCGCCACCGCCACCCCACCACCATCACCACTACCACCATCGCCATCGCCATCAGCGTCACTATCCCACCACCATAACCTTTGCCACAACAATCGTTGACCACTGCCGCCACCCCCCACCACCACCATCATCACTACCATCACCCCCGCTGCCCCACCCCCACCACCATCACAACCGTTGTTGCCACCCTACTACCACCACTACTGCTGTCGCCATCACCTTTGCCACAATAATCACCACTATTGCGGCTGCCACCATAACCACTACTGCTGTCATCCTACCACCACCGATACTGTCCCACCATTACCCTTACCATCGCCACCCCCACGATCACTCCCACTACCACCATCGTCGTTGCTGTTACCCCATCACCCGTCGCCACCCCCACTGCCCCATCACCACCACCATCACCACCACCATTATCACCACCCACCATTGATTGAAACCACCATTGTCCATGGTCACTAACCACCATCATCATCAGTTTATTCTTATATTTATTACCACTACTATCAGCATCCCACTACAACCATCAGCACCCACCACCACCCACCCTTACCTATAACCACCCCTACCCACAACCATTCGTTGTTTTTTACCATCACCATCAGCCACTGTCACCCACCCTTACTGCACAACTATAATTGCCCGTCATCGCCCACCATTGCCACCACCCACTGTCACCCACCTCTACCACACCTACCACCATCACTACACCGTCATTCATTACCACCTATCACATTGTCGCTTAAAAGCACCAATTGTCGCCCATCACCACCATTGTCATTGTCAACCACCATAACCCACTATCGCCACCACAATTGTAGTCGCTCCACCACCACTGTCGTCACCTATGACTACCACTACTACCATTGTCACCCAAAATCAACCATCACTATCACCGTTTTCACCTACGGCTACCATCATCACCACGATCGTCACCACTTTCTACAATCATCACCGTCTCCCACCACCATTACTGTTGTCCACTACCACTGCTGCCCGCCACCACTACCATCGCTCACTCCTACTACAACCGATATTTAAATTTTTTTTTCTCTCTTTTATGTTTTTAATTTAATTTTGGGTATAAATACAAATATGTTTATTGTTGACTATTTTTTTTATTACTCTGTGCCTTTAGACACAGGTAATAACTAGTCTATCTATATTACTTATAAATGTCAACATTTGCAAAATACTTTTGATTTTCTATTTTATCTCTAATTATTATTATAGTAAATTCAATTATACCCACCTATATACTTTTATCTCATTTTTTTTACACTTATTTGATATTTAAGTTGTTTTGGATTCTTTTATAAGTACTCTAAATTCTTTTAAACTCATTTATTAATAATATAGTTACATACAGTTATATATATCTATATGAAAAAAGTAAAGTCTTATACAGGCAAATATATGTTATTTTTTATTTTTTGGTATGTAGTAATATAATAATATTATAACTAATTTAATCAATCTATTTAAAAAAATAAAAATTAATAATTCTGTAATACATAATTAGATGTACAAATATTTAAAGGGGTCAACGAAATACCTAAATAAATGACAAATTCGGTACTCAAAGACTTATAGAATAAATTAATAATTAAAATATGAATTAATTACTCAGTACCTAATTTATTATTTAATTTAATTATACATATAATTCACACTTTATATAAAAATAACATTGTTTAAATTTATTTACGTGCGACGCATGTTTTACATTACTTATATATATAATTAAGTCTAATAAGTTAAATTCTTAATTTATAAAAATAAAATAATAATTAAAATTAATTTAATTTTTATTCAACTAGGGTTCGTGCAGGATAAAGTTGCAAATATTTAAATATCGATTCAACATGACGTACTTGATGAAGTAAAATGTCATTCCCCACCACCCCACCCAACCCAATCCATCCTATATAGTGTTCAAAAAAAAAAAACTAAATTGTTACACAATATATAAGATCATTTTTAATCTTATCTCAAATTTTTATAAAAAAAAAAAAAAAAAAAAAAAGAAAGAAAGAGAGAAGGGAAGAAGTTCATCAACACATTTGATTGACCAACGTAACTTGTATGGGCACAATATATTCCTTACGTAATCCCATGGCCAGACCCGCCTAGTGCCCATGCATCATTATGCTATGTAGGGTAAAGATCATAAATACCTATGGATGTTGGTATTTTTTTTTCAATGTGTCCTTTCAACAATAATTTTATCTAATTTTAACTTTAAATTCTCAAAATCGTAATAATCAACCCCATCCTTCTATTTTTCCATTAAAACACACACACACACAAGATTCTTGTTTCAATGTGAAACCTTGGCTTCAATTCATTTAGATTTTCTGTTTGTTTTGATGATTGAATTTGAAGTTATGAGAGTAAATATCATCTAATAGGTGGGTATTAAATGAGGTATAATTAATATTAATATCTAACATGAAAAGTGTATTTTCATAGGTTAAAGATTTATGCATTGATATTAGTTATTTTTTGTCTTTTTAAATTTAATATTATACATTAATCACTTGACCAAATTGGTATTAAAATAATGAACTTATAATTTATCTGAACATTGAACCAAATATAATTTAATTATGATAGAATAAAATGGTTGATCAATTATTATTATCCACACTATGAACCAAAATAAAATTAAATGGTCATGTTATATATTGAAACCGAACAAGGCCTATGGCCAAGGTCAGTGGATGACCTAAAGACTATTGTCACCGTTATTGAACTTTTCGATCGTGGGTTCGAGTTTCATTGTTCTTCTTCTTGTAACAGTATGATCACAAAAACTTTAAAAACATGGCCTACAAACCGAGATCCATTGTTGTATACGTTAATGATTGTCTATTGATAGGTGTTGGCCACAGTATAAGAAAAAAAAGTTGGTATCATACCGACTTTTATTTTTAACACGGTTGTAGTGTCGAAGAAAAGTAAAAAAATAATTTCCATAATCAGGGACAGAGGCACCTTTGGGCTAATGTGGGTGGGCACATGCCCCCTTAATTTTTTTTCCCTTCATATAAGATATATATTTTTTAAAATAAAATTTTTGCATATTTAATTGTGTCAATCTTATTATTGTGTTTTGGTGATATCAATTTGAATAGAATCCTATTTAAATAATTGTTAAATTTTTTAAAAATGTTATTGAGACTTAATTGAAAGATTTAATACATTGTGATATTAAGTTTAATGATGAGTTTCAACATTTAATAAATTATACTATATAATACAAATTTTTATTTCGTTAACGTATAAAAATGTGTGTCGTTATGTATAAACTATAGAATTATAAATTGAAGATTGTTATCATGATTATATATATATATACTAATTATTGTCTGTGCCTGAAGGCACAAAGTAATCAAATTGGTAAACAATAAATATATTTATATTTATATTCAAAATCAAATCACAAACATAGAAAAATAGATAAAGGAATTTAAGCTTTGTAATGGAGGTGAGAGGTGATGAGCGGCAATGGTGATAGTAGGAGACGATGACAGTAGTGGTGGGTGGTAATGACGGTGATGGTTGTGGCAACAGTGGTGGTGGTGGAGGCGACGACAATGGTGTTGGTGGT